GGGGTATTATGTGATGTTTTGGTGAAATCTACTATGTATGGGTAATCAAAAAGATGACTATGATGGAATATAAGTAGAGTTATAACAATGATATTTTAGTTTCAGATAATTTAAAAAATAAAAATAAAAATAGTATAATGCTATTTTTTAAAAACCTAATGCTGCATGACAGATCACATATACTTATTATATTGCAAATAATCAGAATAGAGTCTTCAAAATAATATCTAAGCTAGAGAGATAACCAAAGAATTCTAAAATCAAAAACTAACTTGAAAAGAATAAATTAAAGAATATAAAAAAAATGAAAGAAATTAAGCATAAAGAAGGAAAATGTAAACGTGGAACGAAAGTAAGAATTAGAGGCCAAACCTTTTTGTACTTTGCATTTTGCAGATAAAGATCTAAAGTGTATTTGTTACTTCGTAAACGATAAAGAGAAACAATTGTGAAATTAAGATAAACAATTAAAAAATACACTTTAGACCTTTGTCTGCATATCGAGCATCATCGATGCATATCGATCAACGCAAAGGGTGAGGCAGACAGACTTCCTTGATGAAGGTCAACACTTCTTCTTTTAAGGTCAAAATCATCCATCGAATGGTTCGAGTTACTCGATCATCACCTGCCCATAACATCATATCATTTCGTTAACCTAATTCTTGATGTAATGATCCGATCGGTCGTTTTGAGTTCTAGCGCATCGTCCGACGATTTGATCCTTGAGTAGCTTCACTTCAGGTATTATGACTTGTACGTGTGGTAGGAATTGAATTTCGGAAGTTCGGAGTTGATTCGGATGGAAAATTCAAATTTCTGAAGCCTTAACTTGGAAGAGTTGACTAAGGTTTGAATTCTGAGTAAAATACCTCGGAATCGAAATTTGAAGTTTTCAATAGGTTCGTGTGATGATTTCAGACGTGGGCGTATATTCGGGTTGAGTATCTGATCACCCGGGAGCATTTCGATGCTTATTATGAAAAGTTAACATTTTGAAAGTTTAAGAATTTCTTAAGTTTAAATTGAAGTGGACTTTGATATTATCGATATCCGTTTGAGTTTCCAAGCCTTGAAATAGGTTCATATTGTGATATATGACTTGTGCGTAAAGTTTGGCATTATTCCGGAAAGTTTAAGTGTGATTCGGATGCGTTCGGTGAAGTTTGAATGTTTGAGAGTTTAAAGAAAGGTTTCGACCGTCAATTCCTAATTTTGATATTTTTTGACGTGGTTTGAGTTTTCGACTAAGTCCGTATCGCATTTTGGGATGTGTTGGTATGCTTGGACAGGGTCCCAGGGGCTTCAGATGCGAATCGGATTGGAAACAGATCGAGTTTGGGCTTGGAAGAATTGCTAAAGCAGCTGTGATTTGGTGCAATCGCACCTGCGTGGAAAGAGCCGCAGGTGCGAGACCGCAAAACGGCCCTAGTGTCGCAGAAGCGGTTGGGTTTAAAGTTGCAGGAGCGAGGACTTTACCACACCTGCAGGTGTGAAAATGGGGGCGGAGGAGCGCAGAAGCGGAAGTTGTCTGGGGCTAGAAGATCACAAGTGCGGATGTTGTAGCGCACCTGCAGAGCCGCACGTTCGGTCGTGGGCGCGAAGCTGCGGAAGGCTGCTCGAGCTAGGAAGTCCGCAAATTCGGGCGGTTTCCACAGAAGCGGATGCGCTTATGCGATTGTGGTCTCGTAGAAACGGAAAGCTGGCATCTTGGGGTAAAGCCGCATCTGCGAGGTAGCTTCCGCAAAAGCGAAGCCGCAGAAGTCCAAGGAGTTCTGCAGATGCGAAAAATCGATTGGGCAGAATATATATGCTAGCCAATGCGGGATTTGTTCATTTCATCTCATTTGTCTCTTTTGGAACCGACTTTGGGGTGATTTTGGAGAGCTATTTCATCCACCTGTTGAGGGTAAGTGTTTCTAAACCACTTTTGATTATATTTCATAAACACATATGGAATTTTAACATGAAAATTAGTAGAAATTGGGGGATTTTGAAAGAAAACCTAGGATTTGGTATTTTGTATTTTTGACCATGAAATTGGACATGAAATTGAGAATAAATTATATATTTGAGTTCGTAATGTTATGGGTAATGATTATCTTCGAACATTTTCAGAATCCAGGCACGTGGGTCCTAGGGTTGACTTTCTTGACTTTTCGAGTGGAGTTGAAAATTGTTATAAGTTGATTAATTATGGGAAATAGAATATATATTTATGGATTTGCACATTTGTTTGACTAGTTTTGTAGAGACGGGCATCGGTTTGACGTGTTTGAGAGGTGTTGGACTAGACTTGCATAGAGTGATAGACTTACTATTGTAGAGATTTGACGGTCTTCATGATTAGCCGCAAAATAATTGTACTCCTCTTATAAATTTCAACCGCGCTATGCATTTTTATCGAAACGTTTTCCTTAAAGTTCATAACTCGCATGTTTATTCGTGAATGGGGTTAAGGACCCGGTAAAGCTTCTTATTCNTTAAAGCTTCTTATTCTAATGGGATCGGGTTGTTCGCCTCGATAGTATAATAGATGCATCTATGGTTCATGCCGTTCGATCCTCGGCAGTGCACACATTATGATGGGATCGGGTCGTTCTCCTCGGCAATATAATAGATATAT